CTTCTCCAAATAATCCCTAACTTGGTCGGTCGTTAATGTCGGCTGTTTGTCTCTTTCCCCATCTCTGTTGCCAACTGCACTCGGCAGCTGGTAGCTGCCCCTATTTCCAAAAACTGAAGTAAAAAAGGCATTAAATACCTCAACCTTCTCTGTATTGTCTGTGACCAGATTGCCTTACACATTCTGTAGTGTAAGGGACCTATGGAATCTTTGGTCTTCTTCTGACACATCTGTAAAATCCCTTTTTATTGCCTTTAATATCCCTTCCAGCTGCAGCTCCAACTGTGCTTTGGCCTTCCAAATTTTCTCCCTGCATGCCCATATGATATTCTTGTACTCTCCTCTAGTACTATGACCATGTTTCCACTTTTTATAGGATTCCTTCTTGAATTTCAAGTCCTTGAAGAGATAGCTATTTAACCAGGCTGGTCTCCTGTTCCACTTTCCTGGAAGTTCTTCTGGTCTCATTAAAATAGCTTGCTCCTGCACCCTTAAGAGATCCTCCTTAAAGTACAGCCAGCTATCCTAGTCCTCAGACTTGCCTCTCAAGGGATCCTGCCCAATGAGTACATTAAAGTCTGTTTTTCTGAAGTCCATCATCCTTATTTTGGTGTTCTCCTCCCTTCTTCCTCTAAGGATCGTGAACTCTATCATTTCATGGTCACCCAAGTTACCTTCCACCCTCACATTATCAAACAATTCCACCCCGATTGTGAGCAGTAAGTCAAGAAGAGCTTCCCCCTTTTTTTGGCCTCTACCATCTGAAAAAGTTATACCTAAGGTACTTCAAGAACTTACTGAAGCATTTATGCACGGTTGTGTTTCCCTCCCCACAGATGACCCAATAATTAAATTTTGAAGTTTCCGTCTTTTGTTTAAAGGAGGCCTCATCCTCCTCCTCTTGGTTTGGATATCCACCATGACACCTGCTGCTCTTCCCTCCGATCTTTACTCAAAGGTTTTCAACAGTCCTACTTTACATTTTGGACTGCACCTCTAAATATGCATACATTGCCTTTATATATAGGGAATACCTCCAACTTTTTTCCCCTGCCTATGCTTGCTGAACAAGCTATACCCATCCAAGGCAGCATTCCAGTCATGTGAACTATCCCACCAGGTCTCCATAATCCCAATTACATCATAATTCTGTGATTGTACTGGGACTTCCAATTCTTCCAGTTTGTTCCCAATACATCCTGTATAGTGTATGAACATTATTTCAAGTATGTAACTGACTATCCTATCCTATCCCTGAGAGCAATGCTAAGGTTACCATTATTGCTTTCCATTATTATGTGTTTATCTAGGTTTCTAGGCACTTTACTTACCTCTGGGTTTTTGTCTCCATCCCCTCACCAAAACTTGGAATTTTCCTGCTATGAGAAATTCTGAGTCTTCAAAAAAGGTTTGTATCCTGCATGGGAATTAAAACTAGGATTTTCTAAATGTCCATCAGAAAGGGAAATTTCAATTATTTTTCATTTCAGTAATTCCAACAGTAAAATGAAACGGAATCCCCAATTCCAGGAGGTCCCTGCACTACCTCTGACTCCTGGAATCCTCTGATACAAGACCAAATAATAACTGAGACAATGTGGGAGCCCTCTCTCCAGGCAATAATCTCAAGTAGGGCCCCCCCCGCACACACATGTTTATGCTGAGGCTCTATACTCTCAGCTCCAAGGACTACCAGGTTTCCAGCTCTATCATAAAGTTTTAAAAAATGGTTGGGATCTCCGTTCACAGAATGCTTGGCAAGACGGGGTTGCCCATGAGCTACAGACCCTAGCACTCCAAGCAGCCTGCATGGAAAACCTGTAGGAAACCAAGTCTGTGCTTCAGAAAAAGACAAGGAAAACATTTCATTTTCAGTGAACCAATGTTCTCTGAAGAAACACTAGTCTATCTAAAAATTCCTTTCTTATTGTATCAATTGAATCTGGTCACTCAATTCCTGGAGAATTTCCCCATGTAAATTTGTGCCTAAATATATAACAAATTCAGCTGGAATGTTACTTGTAATAAAAGACAATTTTAAGACTGACTCATCTCTAACACTGATTATGCCTAACTTCCAAGTTTGTTCAGCTATCATATGTCTAATGCCATGTGGTCTGTCCCAGCAGTAGTTTTATTTAGCTCTACACTCTATGTAGTAAGTAAAACTATTATGAATTAGGATAATTGAATTTGTATGTAGAATTTGTCATTTCTTTGAAATAAATTGATCCATTTGCAAAAAAATAGACAAACATTTAAAGTTAATACATTTGCACTTATATATATGTCTTTAACTTCAAATACACTATCAACAATTAAATATAATTATTTCTTCATTTCAGAAAGCAAGCAAGCAAGGATCTCTTGCCTACACTGCTCTTTGAATAGTCCTGTATATTTTCTCTTAAGTCAACACTACTTGCATTTAGTAACATAAGGTGGCAGGGACAGAGCATAATTTGCCATTATGATCTTGCATGAACGTGCATTACTGCAAGAGGAAGTACAGGACAGTTTGCAATGGCCACCATGTTTTTCTATACTTTGAGACCCTAATTCTGTAGGAATCACCGATCGAAATTCAGTGGCCTGTCATATTAAGTCAGACAAGATAAACATAATGCTCTCTTCTGGCATTAGAATATATAAACTCTATTCAGGAAGACATCCACATCCACACAGAGACTCTGAATCTGCTGCTTGACTCAGTGTGCATCCTGCAAAACAAAAACCTAAAATCAGCTCCACCTTACTGTTTCATTTGTTGTCTTCCAGTAGCCTGATTTATTTTTTACCTAACATTTTTTAATCCAAATGCACTATTATTTTTAATACTAAAGCTTCATCATCAAAGTTATCATATAATATACAACTCCCATACATGAATATCTTAATAGGTAAGGCAATTTCTGGTCTGAATTGTCAT